TTTAAAAAGAAATGGGCTGGTGCTGCTGCAGCTAGCATCAGACCCTAAAGCAACATGTACACATTTCTCAGGGTAGAGGACTTTTTCCAGTAGCTTAAGTATATGAATGAGTTTATCATAAGACACTGAGCAAGTGTTGTTAACATTCACTCTGAATAAAAGAAAAGCTTTGATAGCGTCCATACTCATTTGACATTTTTCTTCACTCAAAAAACTGTTCATCACACTGAACACTCGTGACATTGGATTGTTTGTTTCTGGTAAATACTGAGCAAATTCTGCTTCATACAGCAATATGTCTTCAACAAATATTTTGAATTTATAATAAAGCCAAATATTTGGATGAATGGAATGAAACATTGGGACATTTCAGGTGGAAAAAAAAGGACTCTCTCAGTAAAACTGGGTCACTAAGAATGGAAATCTATATATACACTTTTTAAAGGCCTGATTCTTCAGCATCATTGAACACAAAGCCTGATCCAAAGCCCAATAACGTAACTAAGTCTTTTCATTGACTTCAATGACTTTGGATGAAGCCCACTGAAATCAACAGAAGCACATGAAACAGATGCTAAGTTAGGTCTTAAAAAGCCACAATGAAATATGAAAATGAAAACTGTCTAACTTTTCAAAGGCAGGTTTCACTCTAAACACTTCTCTTACCACTTTCACTTGTGATGAGTTCTCTTCCACCCTGCCATCTCACAGCCCTTTGTTCACATTCTTGTTACGTTTTAAATACCAGCAAATGTATCTAAATACATTTATTTGTTGTGCTTTACCACACAGAGACACCTGTTTGGTACTGTGGATACCTCTGACATTTTAAATGACAAAACAATCAAAGCTAAACTGTGACCAAACCCCCAGAAAAACATCAGCAAAACTCTACCCTCAACACAACCCCAGAAGAGATATTTTGCCTCACCAAAACCTCCATTCCTCAGGAACAATTGCATCCATCTTGCCCTAACCTCTTCAGCTACCGGGAGCGACAGAGAGAGAAGATGGGCCCTGCAGCATGCCCTGAAGGTTAAATAATCCTGATTATTTCAGACCAAGAACAAAGTGAGTCCCTGTCACGTAGAATGGTCCTCTGCAAACTTCCTCTCTATTAAACCCAGCTTGAGCACCTCCACTGATCCATGCTGTGGTAGAACCATATGAATACACTACACACTCAGTTGTACCTCCTATTCTCATTCCTTCCTGCTCAGAGGGCTCCATCACCCCAGAAACCGAGCGTCTGTTTCTTCTAGAGGGGTTCATTGGCAGTGCACTTTGCTTTAGTGTGAGTGTATCTCCACTAAGGAATTATTCTGGAGTTAAAGCAATGAGAGAGAGAGAGAGAGAGAGAGAGAGCTGATTTTGGCCCACTTTGCCCCAAATGTGATTAATTAAATCAGAACAGCTTTGGAATAGCACAACTGCAGCAGTCTTCACTAGTTATGGAAATTTTCATTAGGCTGCCTGGCTTTGCAGGCCAATGCTTATGCAATCTCTCAGGAAAAAGTGTTATACAATAAGACGTGTAACAGACTAAATGTACAAACTATTTTGGCTGAAACAGTATGAATTGTTTACAGAAATATCACAGTGTATCTCAGCAATGGTAACATTCACTCAGAACTCTGAAAATCAGGCCATGCTTATCGTCTTTAGGAGCCCATATGTATTTAATAGCCTAACTTTCGGTACCCTGCTTTGAAAATTTTGGTCTTAGTCTCCAAACAACTTGTAAAATGGCAATAAAGATGGTATTTCCTAGAAGAAACTAGTGACTGGTCATGGAGACAGCACTTTTCAGGGGGATGGACACCATTTGGATTAACCATTTTTAAACTCACTGCTGCTAAACCTCATGGGTTTTGGACTATATTTTGGTTGTGGGGAAGATTACAATAAAGGTGTATAATAGTTTCTTATATCCACATCCTCTGGTGCATACAACTGATGATCTGTTTTATTTCTTAAAAATATAGTTGTGAATAAAATTAAAATCAAGTCAGCCAGGCAAATTTGTTTTTTTCTTTGCTCAGATTTCCAATATCTTATTGAATGACAACCTAGATATGCCTTTAGAATTGTCTGATAGAAACAGCTGAATTCGCTTGGTGTATTTTCAGCAAAATGAGATGTATCATGGCCATTGGCCATGTAGTGGGTCATTAAATTTTATTTTCCGTAGTAGAAAACAAGCAATAAGATGCAACTGCTGTTAACCTCGTTTCCCCTTGGCATGAGGATTTAGTAACACTGAATGATAACGGAAAAAAACAGATACAAAAAAGTAACTATTTAATGTAATGTACTGATCCAATAATTTTCTTGCTTTAAAAATTTGTACACATATATAACCGATGATTTTGAAAAAAAACACCAACCAAACAAAAACCACTTGATACACCCAACATATAGTGCCTTATTGGGGTAGCAGATTTCTAGAGTCAGTGAGAGTTCTTCTTTTGTTTCTTCCAATGCTGCACTTCTTCATTCTTAATTTAAGGCAAAACAGGAACCAACGAGTTGAAATTTAAGTCACATGATAAATGATCATAACTTGGGTTGATTCACTGAATTGTGTATTTGGAATTACTGTAAGTTGCCCAGCACAAAGAGATGGGATTTACTGACATAATTTTCCATTGAAAAAGGCATTAAACACTGAGTAGCTTGAACTCCAGACTATCAAGGTCTAAGGAAGACCCTCATTTGTTGAAATACACATTCATATTGACACGCAAATTTTCAAGTATGATGAGTGTTCCACCAATCAAACATGAATTAAGACAAACATGAATTCTGAAAAACAGGCACCCAACTGTGCACATCAGAAAACAAATGATTCCCCATTGGGGGCTATAAAGCAAAGAGGTTCAATATGAAGGAAAGGAAACAAATTTGAAGAGAAGCAAACAGAAAGGGGGAGACAAACTGCTGGACAAGGGGAGAACACTCATCAGGAACTCATTCTCTCTTCTATACCAAATCTAAGCCATTACTGCATATGTTGTTTACTCAGCAGCTCCACTGACATATAGTGGGCATGAGTTAATATGTGACTATTCATCAGGCTCTTTCATTGCTAATCTGTAAAAGCTCATTCAGAAAGACTTTAGGATCAGCAGTTGTCCTGGTTCATCAAGCCTGTAGAAACTAAAGGCAATGTCTAAGTTACCTGCAAGTGATGTGTATTACTTGAATGAAATGCTGATTACTCTATTTATGAATGCTGAGATAAAATGGCCATATACCTAAACAGATGATTACTTGCCCCAGATTCCTATTTCTTCTCTCTGTTACACAGTTTATATTACTCCTGAACTCTCTACCACTTTGTGGGAGAGCTGCATTTACAGTACCTTGGTTCCACGCATTTCTGGTATCAAATCACTTTTTCCTATTGCTGGTCCAACCAAATTGTTGAATTGCAGAACTGAACCTAGGACAAACTTTTCCTGTGCTAAACAAATGATTTTACATCAGCTGGGGAAAAAATGTTCATCCAGGAATACAAACTCTCAAATTTATATTCTCTCTCTTTCCATTGGCAACCTCAAGGATAAGAGAGTGACGTCACATTCTCACCACCCTGAAGGGTATGCAATGGGCCATAGCTGTGTCTTATGATATGATCGGGCTTGTGCATATTTTTCATTGTTGCATTGTCCCCTTTATTCTGGCTTCTTTCAAACTACTGTTTGAGCCAAGCTCTGCCCTTCTTTATACCTTGTGCAACTCCTGTGAAGGCAAGAGACTTAATGCTGCTATCACTGACACCTCTATATACTTGTATACCTGAAGTCACCTGTATATGCCTGGAGTATTTACCTGACAAATTGACACTACTGACTTTAACATGCACTTACTCCTGACTTGAACCTGTGTCACAGAGAGACAGATTTGTCTTAATGAAACTACACACGGGGTATAAATCAGGCCACAATTTGGCCCTTTCTGCACGTCCCCAATTTAAAGCTCCACCTCACTTTTCCAAATAACATCCCACAAAAATATTCTGATATTAAAGGGGCACTGCCAATCTGAACTTTTTCAAACTGATGACTTTCAAAAAAAATCTAGTTTCTGTTACAGCATTTTAAAAAAATTCTGTATTTTTTTCCTGCTTTCCTATTGGTATTGGCTAAGTCCTTGTCAGGAAAAAAGAAACTGACTGACTATGGGCTAGATCCTCACTTTATGACCTGACCTGTGGCAAGAGGTCACAGACTGTCTCCTAGTCTTCTCTGTGCTACATGTAGGAAGTGTCCTGTGCTGAGTTTATACCAGGCACAGCATATATCGTTTCCACCCATCACACACTGTGGGGAACAGAGACAGGACTCTATCCAACCCTGCCTCTTCCTCCCCATCTGTGGTGGAGGGGGGATGTGAGTAGCAGCTCAGAGCCTGCTTCCCCTGCAGTGCTGCAACACATGTACAGATGACCCATGCAAGACAGTAATGATGTGCCTTATGGCCCTTGGTCCCTTACAAAGGGGTGCAGGGCTAGTGAGGATCTACCACTAAGCAGGAGAAACAGTGAAATTGACTTATACATACATGCACTGTCAAATACACAAACTGACAAATAGAAAAAAATTTTTTTTGCTAACTTTTCAATCAACGTAACTTTAGACATAGGCTGTAACTATAGTAGGAACATCACTTTAAAACAGAAACATGATTTTCAAGGGAATGGTATCCCTTCATGTGTCAGTAAGGGAGTTTCCGAGTGTGTGATGTCATGTAGGGGAATAACAGAAATCTAAATGACAAATATTGTTTTCTCACAGAAAAATAAAGATATTTTTCTTCAGCCAACATTCAGACCTGACCCTACAAACACTTGTGTGTGTGCTTAACTTTATGCATGAAGTCAATTTATGGTAAAGTTAAGCATGTTGAATAGGTATGTGCAAGATCAGGGGATCAATACGTATGTAAATATAGTTTAGGATTGTACAGATTGCACTATACGAATTATTCGAGCCTACCTTTTCCTTGATATTTGCAGGAGAACTGATTTCTGCCATCTCTATTCGGATGAGAATAATCTCTGTGAAGAGGAGAAATAGTAAGAAAAAGATTAATTTACAGGTTTAGACTGCAAAGACTTATGCATGAGCGTAACTTTAAGCAGGTGAGCAGTCTCAATGACATCCCGTGGGCAGGATGGGGAACTGGGTCGGTCTTAAGGCTTCCTGAACGATCACACACACGCTCACCAACAACTCCTGCTGCACATCACCCAAATTAGCTTTAAAAATGTGCTACAATATATTCTATAGCTCATTTGATGACCTACATCTGCTGTGTAATATCCTAAGAATGGCCAGTATGGATATAGGCAGCTGGAAGAATGATCCCCAATCTCCATCAAATTCATTGTTGCCATGCATCTTCAAAGCTTTAAACACAGGGTATATCTAGGGCATATTCAATTGCTCATATTTTGTTGGTCAGCAGTGGTCTTCGTTTTTGCCAAAATAGGGTTCCATAGTCTGAAAAATCCAGTCTTAACAAGCTAATGCATCTTGGAAGTGCTAGGACACACAGCTGAAAAGTACTCCATGCCTGAGATCTTCAAAGCCAGTGAAGGACTTTAGCCATACAACTCCCATTAAAATTAATGGGGGCTGTGTGGCTAAATCTCCAAGTCTGCTTTGAAAATCTCAGCCTAGGAATGGAATATGTGTGTGGTTACAGATGCCAGTGGTGCTCTTTCATTTACACAGCCACTAAATTAAAACAGACCAAAATTGCGCACACACACACACACAACACAGGACTGAAAGAGGGATGGGAGTTTGAAGGCTAGGTCTACATTTCAAACGTTACAGTTAGGGCCTCTGTAGAGCTTCAGTGTAGACACTCACTACAGTGACAGGAAGGGTTCTCCCATCACTGCAGGTAATTCACCTCCCTGAGAGGCGGTAGCTAGGTCGACAGAAGAAATCTTCCATCCGCTTAGTACAGTCTACCCCAGGAGTTAGGTCAGTTTAACTACCTTGAGAGACACAGCTATGCTGATCTAAGTTTTCAGTATAGACCAGCCCTAACAGAATAATCCTGCTTTCACTGAAGTAATTTGCCTTTGATTTCAGTAGGGAACGAAACTGGACTTTACAGTTCAAAACAAGTCTTACAAAATACATATATACATAAACATAAATGTTTGGGTAGGGGAGAATTTAATTATAACAAGGGCTTGGCCATAGGGAATAAAAGCTTGATCACTCATAAAATCCCTATTCCAGACTATATTATACATTTATAAAAAAACAAATGGGAAGGAAGCAGTGTCCATTTTCCAGTCTTTCAAGCAGGAACATTCCCTTCACCCCACCCTCCCTTTCTTTCCGTTCCAGCCCTTTGTTTCGCACCTCAGATTTCCCATAATTTCACTAAATCACCCTCACCATGGTTAAATGCAAACAATCATCTATAAACTCCTGCTCTGAAATACAACATTTCACTAGAGTGTGAACTCCAGAAACTAAGTGCCTCCACTGTAATACTGGCTGAAAGCATTTATTTTTGTTGTGGGGTTTTGTGTGCATTTGTTTCCTAATTAAAAGGATGAGATTTATGGAAACAAGTTTTCAAAGACAGCATGGAAACTACAGAACCCAAACCACCAAAAAAGAAAATCAACCTTCTGCTGGAGGCATCTGACTCAAGATGATGAAAGTGAACATGCGTCAGTCTGCACTGCTTTGGATCTTTGGATTCTTATTGAGTAGAACCTTGGGTGACCAGAGGAGAGGAAGAAAATATCGGGACACATGAGGGGGCGGGGTCGCCAGCGCAGCAAAAAAAAAAAAAAAAAAAAAAAAAGTGCCACGAAATATCGGGACAAACATCGGTCGGGACGCGGGACAAACGCCAAAATATTGGGACAGTCCCGATTTTATCGGGACATCTGGTCACCATAGCAGAACCCGTCATCAGCATGGATGCACGTCCTCTGGAATGGTGGTTGTAGCATGAAGGGACATATGAATCTTTAGCGCATCTGGCATGTAAATATCTTGCGACGCTGGCTACAACAGTGCCATGCGAACGCCTGTTCTCACTTTCAGATGACATTGTGAACAAGAAGCGGGCAGCCTTATATCCTGCAAATGTAAACAAATTTGTTTGTCTGAGTGATTGGCTGAACAAGAAATATGTGGACTTGTAGGCTCTATGTACAAAAAAATAACTGCATTCAAAAATAAAACAATGTAAAACTTTAATTCTACATTTGTAAGTTCAGCTTTCATGATAAAGAGACTGCACTACAGTACTTGTATTAGGTGAATTGAAAAATACTATTTTTTTTTGTTTTTTACAGTGCAAATGTTTGTAATAAAAATAAATATAAAGTGAGCACTGTACACTTTGTATTCTGTGTTATAATTGAAATCCATATATTTGAAAATGTAGAAAATATCCAAAAATATTTAAATGGTATTCTATTATTATTTAACTGTGCGACTAATTGCATAATTAATCACGATTAATTTTTTTAATCGCTTGACAGCCCTTGTTCTTTTTATTTACTTTCTCTTTAAACACCTCTTTCTGTTTATACTGCTTCAAAGGTGTGAGCTAAACAGTGCTTTTAAATTTAAAGAAATTAAATTAGCTGATTCAATTTGCTAAAATACATACCCAGTATTTGTTCTTTGTAGCAATGCTCTGATTCAATTTTAAACTAGCTATGAAAACTTAATACAGCACCCAGCTAGTTCCCCCCTTGTGTCCCCTTTGCTGTGTGTTTCATGTATTACTATAACTATCAATGTCCACTGATGGATGTGATGCTGATTCAGCTATTTTGCAATTGCAAGTTACTTCAAAAAGGCGTTGCAAGCCATACAAAACTAACATGCCCTGAAAAGAGGATTAAAAAAAAAAAATCATGAACTATTATGATACTGCCTTTTACAAGTGGAATCATTCTTTTGTACTTCAGACTTTTCATTAATATGCATATTACAGCTGTCAAAATGAAGATACTAAAATTGAGTTTGAAGTATTTTTCATTCACTCTCTCCAGAGACAAATAGCTGAAATAACATGTATAAGAGACTTGTCCATTTAGTATTATTTGTTACATAAGTGAAATATGAATGATATATTTTAAAGGGAAAATATACTATAAAATTCATGGAGTTTTAAAAAATATTCTTTATTCATGTTATTAATAGCTACTTACGATAGTAAAACTTCTTTTTATAGAATGGGTTGATTTATTTAACTGACAGATATTTTTGTATGTGATAACTTTGTGATTCCAGACATTGAAAAATTGCCTCAGTCCCAATTCTGCAAGAAAAGACAAGTAACTTTATGGCTGTGAATAGGCCTACTGAAATTAATAGGACTTCTCACATATGTAAATTTACACACACCCCTAGTCTTTGCAGGATCCTAGGAGTCCTTGTTTGTAATTTTTTCAAATGACTAATAAAACTGAATTGGAAGAACAGATTAGTAGGGGCCTGATCCATCAAACACTTATACTCATACTTAACTGTAAGCATGGGTGTAATCCCCATTACTTATATACTTAAAGTTAAGCACAAGTGTATTCTTTGCAGGATTGTGGCCTATGGCCTTATGGCCATAAGAAGTTGAAAAAAAAATCTAATTTATGTTTCACTATTTGTGCCTTTTGTTTATTTTTGCATTTCACTCAGCTCAGACAATTGAGACAGACAGGTTGGTTTCACTTTACTTTAGTCAGTTTCATTTTCTGGATCTCCAGCCCTACTCCAGTGATATTGTGAGTTTACAACATTGCAAGACAATGTTTACATTAAAATAACCCCTTAATTTTTTTTTTTTTAAAGTAAGCAGTGTTTCCAACTCCAAGCATTCAAATATCATGAGTTGGCCCCCCCCCAAATTATGACATGGGTTTAAAAATCATGAGGTTTTTTTTTTTAAATGGGGGTCTTTTCATTTGCCTCTTAGTTTTGGGGCCTTTAGAATTCACATTTTCAAGCTTTTCTCCACAACCCAGAGAGCTAGTAACTTTTTTTTTTTTTTTTTTAAAAGTGGGGCCAGATATAATCACATGACTTCAGTAGCTGGGGCAGTAAGAAAAAAGCATGAGAATTGCAACACGGCATAAGCAAATTTTATTTATATTGGGCCAAAAATTGAGCTGTGCTAGGTGGCTGTGGAAAGGCCAAAAGTAGTGAAAAATAGGCAAGGTACAGAAGGAGCAAAAGACACACCCTTCAAACATTTTGGAAGATTTCACCTCCATGGATCTCTTTGCTACAAATTCCACAGCTCACCACAGAAGGAGGAAATATAGTGTGCCAGACATCTGGACAAGACAACGCAGCAGAGATCCACTTGGCCACAAACTTGCATATGCGAGGAGTACTGTACCATGTTTGCTGCTGCTCATCGCTTTCAGCTATAGCTGTGTGGCCTGCTAGCTAGGCATGTGGCCCAGGTATGTGCAGGCTAGAGAGAAGATTCCATTTACCCCAACTCTCTCATAGTTCCTATAGGCAAAACTTTTGTACTTTGGCTTTGCTTGAAGGCTCAGAATTAGGCCCATAAGATTCTGTAAACCCTTTGTGTGGAAAAAAAAAAAGGGGGGGGGAGGGAGTCCTCGTATAGTCCTCTTGAAAGGAAAGTTTCCACTGAATGCAAAGGAGATTTTGCCTGCATAGGGGCTGCAGGATCAGGTCTAAATTCCAATACCCTATTATCGAGAAGCACCATACTATACAAGTGATCTCATTGATCCCAGTGCTGCTTCTTATAGAGTAAGGGCAGCAGAACTGGCCCTAAATTTGGGGGTTAAAACTAGTTGGGGGTTAAAACTGTTGTTCTCTGTCCCTGGCAGGCGCGGGGCCACGGCTTCTCTCCGGCTTCAAGAGGAGCCGCAGCCCCACGCCTGCCGGGGACAGAGAGCTCCAGGGCTGCGGGTGCCGGTGCTCTCTGTCCCCGGCAGGCGCGGGGCCGCAGCTTCTCTCCCCTGCCTGGCACTAGGCGGGGGCACATCAATGTCCCGGCAGCCATCATGGTGTTGGGGACCACAGATAC